GATCGTTGCCCTCCTTCCATCCAGCTGAGCCCGTTGTATTTTAGTCAACAACTTTGCCTTGGATTCTCCTCCTAGTTGCGTCCGGTTGTTTGAATGGCTTCAGTGACTTAATCAGAATCGGAATCTTTATTTTTACTGGAGGAATCCGATGAATTCTAGCAAAATGTCCGGTATGGGCGGGTCACAGCAAATTTGCTGTCTTCCCCGGCTTCTTGAATGTTTCCAGTTAAAAGCACATGGATATTCAGTCTCTTGTTTCCACATCACTTATCCAATACATCTAACGTTGCCTTTCTCCAATTATTCTCAGTCGTGTTCTGAGTGTGTTGTTACCCTGCTGCAATCCGTGACACGTTTACGTTACTCGCTTTGTCCGTCCGTGAAATGTGACACATCCTTATGGGAACCTCATTTGCCAGCAAAAATATGATAATTGGTTCTTTACCCTTCTATCTGGCAAAAAGGTGTCAGTTTTGTTGCCAGATAGAAGAGTAAAGAACCAATTATGACACATCCTTCTTGAAACATCTCTATTGCTTCTTCTAGTTTGCTGTGTAGGGTCTAAGTAATTTTCAAACTTTCACATCCACACAGGAAAACAGACCTGCGCTATTCAGCAATGACTGCACGTACGCAACGCAACGTAACGGTAGAGTGAACAGGAGCCCACACTAAAGCACACTCAGAGGAGTCTCAGATTTCAGTGAAATTACCCAAGGCTCGCAGAATGAGAGATTTAGGCAACTCTGAAGATGCTAATGTCTCAATATGAGCGCCAGACGCTCCCAGAGGTCACCCTAAGGTATGTTTAGGATGATTGATGATCGTGTAATTGCCTGAGACTCGGATATTCAGACAGTGCCACCCCTAGGATTTCAGGCTTAAATGTTGTTGACATCTAATTGCTTGAACTCAAAATTCATGAAACGAATATCAAAGAACAACGGCGGCACACACAAAAAAGAACACGCCTGGCCATCAAATCGAGGGGTCCCTCGGTCAACGCGCCTCTAGAGCGCGAATCCACAGTTACGCGTTTCATCTTCACGGGACTCGCTTCACGGTTATGCGCCCGAGAGAAAGAAAAAAAATTGCCGACTTAAAATAATAATAATTTCAATGATAAAAATTTAAAATTTAAAGCAACACATTCCTGTGGAGGGAGCTGGTAGGAACGTTGGGTTGCTCGGTCAATGGCCAGGGTCAACGGCGGCGTGGTGTATTCCGCAAATATGCCCGACTGTGAGAGCGGGCACAAGCCGGCGTGAGTAGGTTAAACGTTGAGTTTTATAAGGGCACCACGGGGTGACCAGCCCCTCCCCACCCAGCCCCACCCCTCCCACCCCCCACCCAGCCCCACCCTCCCCACCCAGCCCCTCCCCACCCTCCTCACCCAGCCCCTCCCCACTCTCGCCACCCAGCCCCTCCCCACCCTTCCCACCAAGCCCCACCTTCCCCACCCAGCCCCTCCTCGCCCTCCCCTCTCCACCCAGCCCCTCCCCACCATCCCCTCTCCACCCAGCCCCACCCCTCCCATTTTTGGATGCACGACGGATGGACGGACACAATAATCCCCTGTTGGCTGGTGTAACCAGGAGGTTCCTACCAGTAAAATATGTTGCAGGTTAACGAACTCAAATCTCAATCTGGTGGCGTCGCCGCCGCCGCCGCATGGCAGCGTCAGGGGCTGCGTGCCCCCCTCGTAGATCTGCGTAGAAGCAGTCCGCGCAGGCGTTCAAGAAACCCTGAAGTTACCCCTTATTAAGTTACATTTGTAAGCAGTATTTTTTTCTTTTAAATATGAATAATTATTTGTTACTAAACTCCTCATTTAGTATTTTTTGTACTGTTAATAATAGTATTTTTAAGTATCGCATTTATACGGGTTTTGTAAATCCAGGCCTTGAATAATGAAATTGAATGATACTTATTTTTTCTTCGGTAACGCAACCCCCCTTATAACACGTATGTCTATGGCAAAATAGCCTTCACACAACGCGATTCCACTCGCACGCTGGTTTTCAGGAGCGCACGTCACGTGTTATGCGCGAGGGACGCATGCACGCGCATGGGCCAACAAGAATTCATCCGTGCCGAACGCACCACAGCGATCTCGCTCCGCTCACATTTATTGGCACGGAATTTTTTAGCAGCGTTCAACAACTGGATCAAATCTTGCTGAGCTGCCCTGCACCCTGGATACGCACGCATCTGAAGTTCAACTGTGTAACGTTGCAATAGCTGCCACTTACAATGCCTGATTTGAATTGACCAATAATGCCGCCCGCCCTCTCCTCCCCACGTGCTTATCACCAGAGCTGGGTCCCAGTGCCTCCCAACGTTTCCACAGAGGAAGGCCTCACAAAGCAGTTTGCTGTGGTGATAGGTTTTTACCCTTTCAACTGGTACAAAAACTGACACCTTTATACAAGGCATCATGTTTGCAATAACCACAACACAAGCAGTCAAAATGCAAACAAAAAGAAACAACTCTGATAATGATAATTATATGCACTGTCCTTGAAGTTGATTGGTCCACACCCGAGACAGCTTTTCTTAGAGCTTAGTCTCCATTGGTGTTGGACCAGATGACGCCAAAAGGCGTACAACTCATCTGGTCCAACACCAATGGAGACTAGGCTCTAAGAAATGCTGTCTCGGGTGTGGACCAATCAACTTCAAGGACAGTGCATATCATTATCAGAGTTGTTTCTTTTTGTTAGCATTTTGACTGCTTGTGTTGTGGTTATTGCAAACATGATGCCTTGTACAAAGGTGTCAGTTTTTGTACCAGTTGAAAGGGTAAAAACCTATCACTATATTTTTCCACTGGTAAAGGAGGTCTCAGTGTAAAAGCAGTTTGCTGTGTAGCTCATTGGGCCTTGAACTGTGTCAATCTCACGTCTTCTAAACAAACGTCTGAAGTGCCCAATGTTGTTCTTGCACACGATGGGGGGCAAAGCTACGAGGAGTTCGATGCCAATGTGGAGGTCTCTGTGGGCCACAACGAGAAGGCTTCAGCAGAGAGAGTTCGTGTCGTCTTGCTGTCCCTTCTCCTCCGTTTGAAGGAGTGCAAGACTACAGTGGAATTACTTTGCCACGTGCTCTAGAGTTTTGGTTGCATGGCCACAATCGCAATTAATGGATTGGAGGCGCAAACCACGTGCTCACAGCACTCGTTAAGGGGCCTAACGCATTGGACCTCGATGGTAGTGGCAGGAGACGCCAAGCGGCGCCGCCGTGATCCGTCGCCCCCAGCCAGGCCTCCTGCTGCTGCCGCTGGATAGGCACGGTCCGGCGTCATCGAGCGCGACGACGTTCCGTGATCGGCACCAGGTTCAGCGTGGGGTGTCCCCCGTGAGCCCACGCGCGGTCGCGGTTCGTTCCGGATCTGTCGCCGACGCTCGGCCGCAGGGCGAGGCGAGGCCGGACGTCTGTCTGGTCGTCTGCTCGTTCAAGACGGAGCTTCGTGCCCGAACTAGGCTACGTACGGTGCGAAAGAAGTTCAACATACCAGCATACAGACACGGTGTTGGGGGGGGGGGGGAACCGTTCGTGATGTCATGGCGTCATTTGTGATGAAGTCAGATCCACGTGGTCCACAAGGATGACGTCACGGCGTCGATTGTGACGAAGTCAGATCCACGTGGTCGACAAGGATGACGTCATGGCGTCGATTGTGACGAAGTCAGATCCACGTGGTCCACAAGGATGACGTCACGGCGTCGATTGTGACGAAGTCAGATCCACGTGGTCCACAAGGATGCAGCTGCGCCGCTGACAGCGCGAGATGGAGAGCCTGGAGATGGTGGGTGCCGGACGCGTGCAGTGTCCAAGGTCTCGGAGCAATGGAGCGCTGTCGACTGGCCCGCAAGTTGTTTACAAAAGTGAAACAAAGATCGGCGACATTTTCGAAGTCAGAACTTCAACGGGACCGTGTACGAGATGACACTTTTGTCGAGGTGAGGCATTGCTTTTTTGTAAATGGGCCCCAAACTTTCTTGATCACCCATTGTGGCTGATCGAGCACAAGCGGAATACTGTGGGAGTGCAGACGACAACGACTGTGTATACATGGCGCAGGTAGAGTGACTTTATATAACATATTTTTGTAATTGAAAAGGCTCAAAAGACCCGAGATCATGCATTCCACAAGAATACCACTAATCCGCAGTATATATTAAGTGAAAACGGCTTTAGGCCTCGGCTATTTTGAGCCATGTGATAGGCGTTCCCGTGTAATTATAGTAAAATTAATATGCAATATACCTTACATAACATTATGTAACAAAGTGCGAGTCCAGATCGAGTGATGCCCTCTTTATTATGTAAATTGTTTGTCGACAATGTTATATCTCACGGCGTAAAACCTCTGTCCATGCAACCTGCTCCTGGGAGCAACATACACGGCCAGTTATGCCCAGAGGTCTCTGCCCAGAGTGATTATTATAATAATAATATCCCTGGCAAGCCAATAGCGTAAACTCCACATCTCGGTGGCGAGGCCAATATCTCCAGGACTCCGTGAAGATGACGCTATTGATGATAAAGAGCTCAATGTAGCAATTGTTTTATGAACACCAGAGCAATGGATATGGCCTGTTGAGGTAAACCAGTGAACGTCGTTGTTGGCTATCTCCTGCTGGGAATGATCCACTCCCAGAAGCCCCTGTGGCTGACCGCATGTGCTTGTGTGTTTGTGCAGGAACGGTAACGTGAAGGTGGCCGCGTCGTCTGACACGCTCACACTGCTACTGCGCTGATGCGTTCTCCACGACGACAACAATGATTTTGTATCTCACACGAAGTGACTTTCTCCCATCAATGAACGTCAGGCGGACGGAGGGGATCATGGTTGGGGGGGGGGTGGGCGATGGGCGTGGGTGGGGTGCTGGGGTGTGCCGAGGGAATGACGAGTGGAGTCGGGGGTGGGGTGCTGGAGTGATTGTGAGCAGTGGGCACGGGAAGAGACGAGCACCCCGCACAGCTGCTATATAAACACGCGGCGGGGCTCGTGTTGTTCAAACTCACAGACGAACCAACGATTCAAGAGGGCCCTTTATGATTATTATTATCGGGTGCAAAGCTTTCCACTTTCGGACAGCGACCGCGCACATTTGATATTAAAAGTGTTTTACGTGGTCTTTATTTTGCGCGTATATATCTAAAAAAAAATCATCATCCTTATTTTGAGTTTGCTGTCAACACTGGACCGTACAGTTAAATAGCTGTGGTCCGCTCGCTTTGAACGGAGGAGCAGCGAAACGACGCGAATTCTCTCCCTCTGTCGAAGCCCTCTCGTCGTGACCGGCAACAGCAGCAGCAGCCACGCGGTCGGCATCTCGCTGACATCGTCCGCAGGCACAGAGACGATTTGAAGAAGTTGTCGCGTTCCAGAGTATTCGCGGAGACGTCTCCTCGACTCTGATGGACGGAGTGAGTGAGGTGAGTGAGGTGAGTGCGTGAGCTTATTGTCACCATTATGACATACGTATACCAAGTTTGCAGTGGATACCACTTTAGGAAGTGGGTAAAAATTGAGTTACAAGATTTGAGGATACGACAGCGACAACAACAACAACGACAATGACAACAACAACAATAATGACAACAACAACAGACAGAGTGAGTTCAAAGAAAGCGTGTAAAATTGGAATCATCGAGATTCTATATGTATAAAACGCTCTATATAGCATTTACCGTTATAAACCTTATTCATGTCGTAGTACCCCCGTAATTACCCTGTAATCAGGTAATTTGTGTGGGGTAAGGGTAAAAGGTAGGCTCGTTGCTTTTTACTTTTTACCTTACCTGCTAAAGGGTTAAAGGTAGGGTAGAGTGAGTGTATTGTGGTAAGGGTAAAAGGTAGGGTAAAGGTACGCTCGTTGTTTTTACCTTTTAACTTTTACATTACCTTGCCGAGGCCTACGTGAGCTGGTGAGGGTGACAGTGGATGAGTTACGGGGGTGAGCGAGTTGACTTGCTCGAGTGGGGAAAGGTTGATTTTTTTGTTCACGTGTTGCTGATTTCAATCAACGACTCCAATTTAAATCAACGACCCATAGTTGCACGGAGTTTACGGGGAAGATTGTGTTCGCGTGACGAGGTGACCAGCTCCCGTGATGACGCCGACTCCTTCGTGTTTGTGAATTCTGCATCGAGTCGTTCTTCATTCATTCCCTTACTCTGTTCTGGATGGTGACCACATTATTCGCGCACGGCCAGAGAGTTTTTAATTTCCCATTTGTGCATCGTCGATAGTTCAATGTCAATGTGCAAGTTTGTTGAGGTGACTGTGTATTGTCTTGGTGTGGCCTGGGACTGTTGTTGCTGTTGTTTGACTGCCTTTTCCAAGTTTGCGAATTGGTGTACTTACGCAATTTAAAAGTACAATACGTAGTTTATTTGTGAATTATTTAAGGGGTGCCACGGTGGTGAAATGTTAACTACCTCGCCTGGCGTGGGTTCGATCCCGACCCTGACGCCTGCTCATGTTTATTTGGAGTTTGCGTGTCTCTCTCATCATCATCACGGTGGCTAGGATATGTTAACGACTTCGCCCGGTATACAGGAGGGCGTGGGTTTGATCCCGACCCTGACACCTGCTGCTGGATATTTGGAGTTTGCGTGTCTCTCTCATCATCATCATGGTGGCTAGGAGATGTTAACTACCTCGCCTGGTATACAGGAGGTCGTGGGTTCAATCCCGACCCTGATGCCTGTTGCTGTCTATTTTGGAGTTTGCGTGTCTCTCTCTCTCCCCGTGGTCGCGTGGATTTTCTCCCGGTCCTCCGGTTTTCTCCTCCACATTGAGAAACACCATCACGCGTTTCGAGTATTTGGCCGCTATACATTTCCACAAGATAAGCCACTTCGTTGAGCTCGAATGTGTGGCTAGGTCGCTTCTGAAAAAGAAGCTAATAGCTCAGTGGGCTTTACCTGGTAAAATACAAAATAAAATAAACATATTCGTGATTCGTTTTCCTTTCCTACACTTTGCACTCCCATCGTGTTGCTGTATTGTTCGTTGTTGTAACTTTCTAACCCACCCCTCGCTGGACATGTGTGAAAAAGAGCTTCATAGCTCATCGGATTTCTCCAGTGTTGATACTGATTTTGGTCATCATCATCATCATCAGGTATCCACATACGCTCCTCCTGTGCCATGGTGTGGGTGCCAATGCGGTTCAGGGGTTGTGTTGCCCTAGCAGCTTCGCAGGAGCTGGGAAAGTGATTGGTGCAGAGTGGATGATAGGTGAGTGAGGAGTGAGTGAGCGAGTGAGTTCGGTGGTGGGCGAGTGAACGTGGCCTAAGTATGGGGGTGAAGAGTTATGTTCGGGTGTCGCGCGCACATGGGGAGTTTGATTTGTGTCCGCTTGTATGCAGAACTTCTTTCGCGCCGTACGTAGTCAACCTTGATTACGTAACCTCATATCGTGCCGAAGATAAAATAAAGGTTAGAAAATAAGGGATAGATGACAAGCAAGCTAAGGGTATACATTTTGCTCCTTACTCTTTACAAAAAAACTAAATCTTCATTAAACATGTTCGAAATTTTCTTCTCGAATTGACAAGAAACATTTAAATCCAAAATCGTATAATTTCGACATACTGTGTTGATTAAAAACGCCTAAAATTCTCACCAAGTTATCAACGGCACGTGGCATTTCGAGAAACGAATCTCGCCTGCCGCTGAAAGTTGTTGGTCGCTGATGTGTTCAATTATTGCAGCCGCCTTTTGCAGACAAGATCATGATAAATTAAGACGACTTCTAATTAATTGATCGCCTGAAATGGGTGACGACATGAGGAGGCAAATGGTACGAATGCGAAAACTGTTCTTTCGTATCCAGTACGTACCCGATGATAAAAATATCGATCCGTAATATCGTAACGCACTTTAGAACCCAGCAACAAATCCCGTGCCTTAGCCTCGCTTCGTGGTGTGACGCCACCGTTGGCAAAAGACCGGGCGCGGTGGAGGGGGACTGCTTGGGGTGAATCATCGGCAAGTGAGATGGACTCTTTGGTTCTTTCGGTAAAGTCACGTAGAAAGAAAATAAATTAAATAAATTAAATCATACTAATAGTATTCTTTGGTTCTTTCGGTTAAGTCACGTATAAAGATAAAATAATAAATTAAATGAAATAATAGCATACTACGACGTCAAAACGTCGTAGTATGCTATTATTTAATTTGTTATTTTATCTTTATACGTGACTTAACCGAAAGAACCAAAGAATAATTCCTGCAGTCACGAAAGCTCCAAAATTGAGATCATACGAATAGTACTCCGTTATTTCATTTATTTTCTTTCTACGTGACTTCACCGAAAGAACCGAAGAGTAATTCCTGCAGTCACGAAAGCTTCAAATCAAGTTTGAAGTGACGTGTAAATCGTGACGGTGCACTCGCAAACTAATACTGGAGTTTATAGTTCGGAGTGATACGTGAGCGAGTGTTATCTATGGATAAGAGTGAGTCGAGGCCAATGTGTGTGTACGAGTTAGGCAATGGGTGAGTAGGTCCGTTAGTACATACCAGCCAGGGAATGGGTTTATTAGTGTCGAAATTAGGAGGATGCATTAGTATGCAGGTGAGTAGGTTTGTGTAAAAAAGCAGTGATTGGTTGAGTAGATAATTGGTGAGTAGGTGTACTGGTGTATGCGTAAGTGAATGGGGTGAGTAGGTGTATTGGGATACTAGCGGTCCTCGACTTACGTCCCCGAGACCTGTTCGTACGGCGAATTGTTCGTAAGTCGGAACACAATCATGTACTCTATTTAAATGCGGTCAGTGTCATAATGTGTTATGGTTCGACAAAAAAGAAGTAAGCATTGTTAAACTAATCAATAAGAACAAGTGTACATTCGCATGGAATACTGTGATAAATAGTGTATGGTGAATAAAACATAATAAAGTAACATGAATAGAAAGAAAATCAGTTTTATTTTCACTTACCTTGAGTCCCGATGCTGGGTTACTTCTCGGAAGGGGTGCACACACACTCACTTTCACTAACACACACTCACACACGCACACACGCACACACGCACACACCACACACGCACACACACACACACGCACACTCACTTTCACTAACACACTAACACACAAAGACCTCCCGTATAGCCTTTCATAGAATATTTGGAGCAAGTGCTGTTAGCGAGCACCTATGATTGGCGGAACGGTACATGAGGGGGTAGGTGGCCAGCACCACGCCCGACCGCCTTTGTCTCCCCAGTGGCGATGTTTACACACTGCACCAGGTACTAATTTGAGGCTGAGTCGACGTAGGGAAGGCCCACGACCGGATCAAATAATCGTCACCGGTGTTGGCAGTGAGCAGGAATCGAACCCGGGTCACACAAGTTCGTAGCGCAGCGTGCCAACCGCTACACCACCGCTCCCCACACACTCACACAGATACATGAGTCAGCCAATGGGTGAGTAGGTGTATTGGTGTGTACATGAGTCAGTGAATGGGTGAGGAGGTGTATTGGTGTGTACATGGGTCAGCCAATGGGTGAGTAGGTGTATGGGTGTACACATGAGTCAATGAATGGGTGAGTAGGTGTATTGGTGTGTACATGAGTCAGTGAATGGGTGAGGAGGTGTATTGGTGTATACATGAGTGAGTCAATGGGTGAGTAGGTGTATGGGTGTACACATGAGTCATTGAATGGGTGAGTAGGTGTATTGGTGTATACATGAGTCAGCCAATGGGTGAGTAGGTGTATTGGTGTATACATGAGTCAGTCAATGGGTGAGTGGGTGTATTGGTGTATATATAAGTCAGTCAATGGGTGAGTAGGTGTATTGGTGTATATATGAGTCAGTCAATGGGTGAGTCAGCCAATGGGTGAGTAGGTGTATTGGTGTGTACATGAGTCAGCCAATGGGTGAGTAGGTGTATTGGTGTACACATGAGTCAGTGAATGGGTGAGTAGGTGCATTAGTGTGTACATGAGTCAGCCAATGGGTGAGTAGGTGTATTGGTGGATACATGAGTCAGCCAATGGGTGAGTAGGTGTATTGGTGGATACATGAGTCAGCCAATGGGTGAGTAGGTGTATTGGTGTATATATGAGTCAGTCAATGGGTGAGTCAGCCAATGGGTGAGTAGGTGTATTCGTGTGTACATGAGTCAGCCAATGGGTGAGTAGGTGTATTGGTGTACACATGAGTCAGTGAATGGGTGAGTAGGTGTATTGGTGTGTACATGAGTCAGCCAATGGGTGAGTAGGTGTATTGGTGTATAGATGAAATCCAACCCTACTAATCATGATGTTACGTTGACAACACGAATGAACTACTCTATATATTTATATTGGCTCTAATCGGCTGCTGGAGTCTGCCACATTTCTACTGGCAAAATGCGGCCGTTCTTTGTTCACTTTTGTAAACAACTTTGCGGGCCAGTCGACAGCGCTCCATTGCTCCG